TAAATGATTCACAACACTAAACAGTGGGCAAAGGAACGTTTTCCCTCTTTAGAAGGCAGTGCAAACAATGGGAAGGGACTGTGTGTGTGGGTTTGGAGGGCTCGGTGAGGTGAGCAAACCTTGGAGGTGCTGCCGGACAAGCAGGGTTTGCCCCTGGTGTATCAATTTTTGGATGTGGATTTCAGTTTTCCTGGGGAAAGATTTTTTATGTGCCTGCATTTGGTGGAATGGGCTGTAGAACAAGATGGAATAACAGCATTTCTGTGTGAGTAACAGTAACTACAGCAAATGGCAAAACCCCAAACTGCTGCATTAGGGAGGAGGGAGCCGTGGATCCTCCATAAATGATGCTGCTGAGAGCAAGGCACTGTGCATGATTTGATATTTGTTCCCACAGAATTGTGCAGTGACCATGCATCAGTATTTGCTAAATTAGATTTTGTTTCTGCTGAGGAACAAAGTGCAGTGACTTGTATTTCAGGAAGCACTTCAGAGATAAATTCAGTCTCTCTCTCTCTCTCTCTCAAGCATTGCTTCCGTGGATAATAACATGGTGTAAACCAGCAGCTACAATTCTTCCTTGGTTTACATCACCCTGGATCTGGCCTGGGATTTAAGTTTAAGGAATTTCAAGTGGGTGGGAGATGATTTTTTCCTACTCATTTCCTTTGCACTTGTCAGGTCAGATGCCTTTGTTTGTTATTGTTGTTTACCTCCTGACAACTTGGGGCAGGTTTATAGTGACATAGTTTGATGTTCATCTCAGTCTGGAGCTGCTGGAATTCCCCATCAGGCAGGGGCTGGGAGGGAGCAGCAGCCAGGGCAGCTCATGCCTGGCCTGAAGTGTTGCTTATTTGAAGGGAATAACAAAATCCTGCTCTGAGTATTCTTGAATGGTTGAGTCTCCTGTTTTTCATACACATAACCTGGTGGGTTTGGTCACTGTGCAGTTGACTGTCACCACTGCCACCTCTGGGACACTGAAGACATTGGCTACCAGTAGATGCTGCCCCACTGCAGTGACTGGGGTGAACTGGTGCTGCCCCGGAGCCCTGCCAGCCCTGCTGCTTTAGGGCACCTCTAAACCTGCAGTGACTGGCACCAGAATGGTCCTGGCTCATGTGTCGAGATCATTTTGGATTTACAGTGGAACTAAACCTCCCCCGAGCCTCTGTCTCCACTCCTGGAGCTTGTCTTGTCAAAAGAGCTCTGGTCTGGAGGACGAGGATGTTGTTCCTGCTCCTACCACCCTTCCCTTCTCTCCATTGCAGCCCCACAGCAAAGCCTGGGGGGTTTGGAACTCTCCTGCTCAGCTCATCTGCTCAGCTGATGTTTATTTTTCACTGCAGTGTCCGGTCACGTTAAGTTTTGTACTGTGTGGATGAAGCTGTGTGTTACAAACTGCCGTGGGCAGCCCGTGGTTCAGGGCTCCAGTTCTTCTGTGAGAGTATTGCAGAGTAAATATTCCATTATTTCCCTCGTGAGGAGCCCAGGGTGAAGCCAATTAGCCTGGGGACTGTTCAAAGAGGGCCTGTTGCACAAAAGAACTGTTGGAAGTGGAGACTTGGTTCAGTTGGATGAACCAACACGTGAATGGATTGAAAAATTGAGTCACCATCAGTGAATTACCATTGGTGGTAATTTACCAGATAAAGATGTTTTCCTAAAGTGCCCTGTGTTTCCTTAAATGATTTAATGATTTTGGAGGTCTTTTTCAGCCTAAATGATCCTATGATTCATTGGGTTGTGGTTTTTCTTTGCCCTTGGGTTGGGGGAAGGCTCTGAGCAGTGCCAGGTGTGGGGATGCCGTTGTCCTTGTCTGGAAGTTCCTGCAGTAAAACGGCGCTGACAGATTCATTTCAGGGATCCACTCCCAAGAAACCACTCTCCAGAATTGAGAGGAGCAGGAGGTGCTGGCAGAGCCCAGACTGGGCTCAGCTGTTTTCCCTCCATCACAAATCGGACAAATGCCCACAAACCCATCCCCATGATGAGCCCAGGGGGTCACACCCTCCAGAGTGAGCCCATGGAGAGGAGATGAGGAGCTGGAATATCCACAGGAACACACCTGAGCTGGGGTTAAAAGCAAAGCTGGGGGGCATGATGCAGCATTCTCATCTCTGGGTGAGGAGTTGAAGGTGCCTCGTGTCAGACTTTAGGTTGGGGAGAATGTGCCAGAAATTTGGGAGAATTGTCCTCTGTCAACCCCAGATCCACCTGGAACTTGCCAGCACAGGCACCAGCGCTGCCCTTTCATATCTTTCTACTTATTTGTGCTTCTGGGCCAAAGGGATAAAGGGAATTGTTTCTGCAATCTTCACAGGAGAAATTTTGAATTTGAGATAAGGTTTTGTCAGTCAAGGATGAGCTGAACTAACTCAGACCTGGAAGCAAATGATAGAACACATAAATTCCCTCAGCTTCCCGGATTTCTTTCTGTGCCTGATGACTTTTTCCAGCAATGTCCAATATAAATGAAGTTCCCTGCTATTACAGCTATTACAGAATATATTACTGCCCAGTTTGGCAGCTTTTGCAAAGCTGTTCTTTGTTTGCAATAAGCAATTTTCTTTTATCTGCGCCCAGAGCACCTCTGGGTCAACATCGTGAACATGCAAATATTTCAGTAGATTGATTGGATACATCATAAAACTCAGTCTTATTTTTCTATTATTTATTTGTTCTTTCAGATAGATTTATGTCCATTTGTGGCACAGGCAGTGGTTGTGGAAGGATGGGCTGAGTTTGTGGATTTTGGAGCTTTCGTGTGACCTTGGAAGAGCTTGGAACATGGTGTCTCTGACCTTGAATTTATTTCCTGAGCCTCGTGCAGCCTCGGTAGCTTTTATACCATCAGGAAATGGAGAGATACAGCCTCTTTAATTTCCCATTTGCCATAAATTGTTCTGATGAACTTATGATTAAAATAAAAATGAGCAGGAGGGACAGTTCAATATCCCCCCGCTGCCCATTGAGCATCACTGTGGTTGGAGAAAGGATTCAATTGAGCTCCTGGATCTTTGGTTGTTAAACCAAACTGGGCTTCATTTTGCCCCTCTGTGATCACAGGAATATTCCCAGTCCTGTGCAGCTTTCTGGCACTGAGCAAATGGCTTTTCCAGTGACCTCCCCAAAATAAATGGAGCCCAAGTGGAGGAGTGGATTTCTCTCTTAGGTAGTGACAAAAAGCCCTGAGAGAGGCAGCTGCCAGGTGCTACAGAAGCGCAAAATATTCCAGTCAAGGAATCCTGTGCTGCCCTCACTTTAATCCCTGGTGGATTGTGGGGCTGTCCTGCCTCTCATTGATCTAATAAACGTGCTACAAAAAGATTCCCTGGGTAGTAAATAGGATGTACTGTTTTAGATTCATAAAACCACAAACTCTGTCTTGTGGGGAGAAGTTCCACACGGAACGTTTTTTGCACCCAAAGTAGGTCAATCTAATTATAATTGGCTTTAATGAGCACCACTCTGCAGTTCTGTACCTGTAGCTGCTTGGCACTCAGAAGTGCAAATGCCTTTGCTGCCTTTGAAAAAACAAACAAAAAAAGAAGGAGAAATCAAAGAAGTAATTTCTACTCTAATGCATTTTGACTTGAAAGCCTCTGCTGTGCCCATCGGCAGGGTAAACAATCCAGCATGGGTGGGAAGAGCTGGAGCAGAGGCAGAGGCCAGCAGCTCAGAGGATAAAGGTGAAACTCAGTGGTTGGGCCACAAGACTGACCCTTCCAGCTGTCTGGAATTTGGTTTTGTGTGGAGGAGTTCTTCCACTAAAGCAGGGAGGGCCGGACCAGTTTGGAGTGAATTCTTTGTGCCTCCAAAGACGTCCAGGTACAGCAGCAGTGAAGGGAGAGGAAAACACTGAAGAGAATTTGTCTTTTAGGCTGTTCCCAAAATACATTCATGTACCTGTGTCCCCAGAGAGAAGAAAATCTCATATATCCTGTTAGTGCACATCGTGGGTCTTTATCTTTGGGATGCAGTGTTCCCAGGTACTGCCTTGGGCAGGGGAAATGGATTTGAGGGAGGTTTGTGGTGTTTCACTGGTGTTACAGGAGAGGGTTTTGTTCTCAGAAGACGCAGCTTTGCAGAGCTCCTCAGAGGTACTGACTGAAGATGCTGTGTGTGTCGAGGCAGAATGAGGAGCACAAACCTTTCAGAACTGTCTGGGAGAACCAGCAGCCCCCCAAGGCAGGGTCTGGCCAGTGATTTCTTCCCTGTGTCCTCCCATCAGGTCTAACGGTAGTGTAGGTGCTCCTGCTGCTGTCTTTTGTTCCAGTGAACCATTCCCAGAGTCATTCAGTGGTCAGGCTTGGAAGGCACTTTACAGGATGCTTTGTTTCTGCACCGTGTCCTGCTCTTTTTTGAGCCAGGACAGGTTTATTCCTGACCTTTGGCCATGCAGGTTTCAGGGAGCCTTGGCCATCCGGGCAGCTCTTGGTGGCTCAGCCCCTCACTCCGTGTGAGTCCCTTCTGCTTTCTCAGGATGTGGCACTGCCTGCACACTCAGCCCTTCCTCTGCCTCGTGTCCAGGTGGAACTGGGGGAGGAGACAAACCCCTCTGGCATTGTCCCTGGAACTGGGGAAGAAGGAGACAACCCACTCTGGCATTGTCCCTGTGCTGTTCTGTGAAAAAGCAGGGCCTGGCACCTGGTACAGGTGAAATCCCAAATGCAGAGTGTGATGGGAGGATGCTGGGTTCTGTGGTGGGCTGGGGAAGGGTGGCTGAGGAAGGAGCTGTCCCCAGGGCCAGGCAGCAGCTGTGAATCCAGCTGTGCTCACAGCTGCTGAGAGCAGAGCCCAGGACGTGTCTGGGGGTTTGGGCTCCACATCCCTGCAGGGAGGAGTCCAAAGCTTCATCTCCAGATTTCACTTTTCTCTGTTTCCTGGGACAAAGAAACCTGGTGGGAAGAGCCCTGTGTGCTCTGTTGGGATGGTGAGGACATTCAATATTCACCTGACACCCTCTGACTTTGTGCTTTTGTCTTTTCTCTTGCCAGCCCAGAACTGCAGTCACACATTGCAGGGCCCAAACGGGACAATACAGAGCCCAGGCTTCCCCTATGGATACCCCAATTATGCAAACTGCACGTGGACAATCACTGCTGAAGAGCAGAACAGGATACAGCTTGTTTTCCAGTCCTTTGCATTAGAGGAAGATTTTGATGTATTATCTATCTACGATGGGCTGCCTCAGCAGGGGAATCTGAGAACGAGGTACAGTGTTCATTACAGTGATGTTTATAAACATGTTCCCCTTCCTGCCACTGGGATTAAATCTGGCCTTGGATTTTCATGCTGAAATAAACTGGGAGTGTTTCTCCATGAGCAATTCTTATAGTTGTTTTGAATTCTTATCTCTGATAAGGCTTGAAATGTTTCTCTGAATGCCTGACAGTAATGATTTATCAAGACTCATCCTAGACATCCAGAGGAGTTAATTAGGAAATAGAGCAGGAGGGAAGCAGAGTTAATGTGCAGAGAGCTTTCCTCAGTCCACACGAGACTCTGGGAGTGGGAGGATGGGCTGTGGGGCTCAGTGATTGCTCTGCCAAAGGCTCTGTGGCTTTTCCCCCAAAATCTGGGCTATTCCTTAACTCCCAGTCCATCCAGCAGCTGGACAGGGCTGCATTCCCTCCCGTCTGTTGGATCTCCAGGGGTAAGAAGTGTTCAATAATCCAGTTTAGTAAGAAAACTCCCCATGGCTTCTCAAATGAGGCTTTCAGTGTTAAAGAAAGTTTTGTGGGAGGCCGATTTTGAGCAGTTGCCGTGGCAGCAGATGCTCTGTGAGGTGTCAGCTGTGGAGCAGTCGTGATCTCAGGCCAGATGGAATCGGCAGGGTGACTGGGGACATGGCTGGGGACACGGCTGGAGGTGCTGGTGGCAGCTCCAGCCCGACAGCGATGCATTCAGAAACTCCCGGAGCAGTGGCAGCATCCAGGCTCTGAATCCCTGGCAAGAATGCTGGAGCACTGGAAATAGATTTTCCTTCAAACCACTCGAGTTCAGGACAAATCCATTGACCTCAGTGTCTTGTCTAACCCGAGTGGAGCATCTGAGCTGCACCCTGGTGGAAATCAGCTCTTTATGTAGATTATTTCAGTTATGCAAATAAATCATCTCCTCATCTGGCAACTGTGCTTGAGAATCACTTTAATTATGGGACCTTGGCATTTAATCAGGAGGTTCAGTGCTTTGCTTTGGGGATAATGGAAAGGTGGAAAATTGGGAGTAAAATCCAGCTCAGGAAACTTTGTGTGGTGAGAAGTTAATGCTGCTCTGAGATGCAAGAATATCCTGGTTGTAAATAAAAGTAGCAGAAAGGGACCTCCCAAGTGTGAGCTGGGGCTTTGCCCTGAGGATCTGTGGCTCTGCACTGGGGGAAGGTGAGGAGACAGAAAAGGTCCCCCCCTCTGCATCCCTGGTGAAGTTCAGGTGCAGCTTGGGCAGGTGAATGGGAGCTGGGGGATGGAACCAGCAGCAAAAACCACGTGGGAATGCTCCATCTCCAATGAGGAGTTCAGGAAATGGAGTGTGTTCAGGGCAGACAAGTGAAATAAAGGGGGAAAATAAAGAGGAATTTCTAGAGGTCTGAAAGCACTTAGAGGAGGCTTAGCAAAAATGAACTCCTGCATGGTGGGCATTAGCTTTCCTGCTTAGGACATTTGCTTTTTGCCTTTGGACATTTCTGGGTTAGTAACTTCTAAGCCTGGAGTTGGCTTCTTTGAGCTGTTTCATGTCTCATCTCTTTGTTCACCAATTTTAGTGTTTGGGTAACGCTCTGGTGCACAGGGTGGGGTTGTTGGGATGTCCCCTGATCCTTGTGGGTCCCTTCCATCTCAGGAGATCCCAGCTATTATTTTTGGTACATAATCTCACCTCATTAAACTCTAACTGTTGCCTAACACTGGGTTACTTCTTTTTTCTCCCTCTTTTCTCTTGCTCATGGCCATCAATTTTGCTTTTTTTTCCTACCTGTTTTCCAAATGTTCTCAATTCATCACTGAGGCGCAGCCCTGAAGATGGATGACCACCTGTCACTCATCAGAGCTCACCCAAAATGAGCTGTGAGCAAGGGGAAAAGAAGGGATAACTGGATTTCTTTGCTTCTTCCCCTCTCAAACTTGTATTTTTGAGCATCCCTGATGCATTTCAGGTCCTTCCCACCCCAGACCATTCCAGGATTTCCTGGGAAGGGGTTAATGTTTTGTTCATTGTGTGCTGGCAAACACCCTCTTGTCTTGCAATTTAATGTGGTGTGAAGGTTCCCTAATAGAATAAGAGCAGCCCTAATCCAATGAGGCATTTGCTAATAAACAGCTTTACTGGATATTAGGGAATTTGCGTTGCGTGTTTGTGATGAGGACGTGAATATTAAATGGGTTTCAGTGCCTTAATTTAGACATCCAGGGCTGTTGTCATCTCTCAGTGCCATGACTTTGCTTTGTTTGCTAAAATCAGAGCTCATTTCCAAGTCTTTGTGATTCCAGCTTCTCTCAAATAATCAGGTTTTTAGAATCCTGGAATGGGTTAGATTGGAAGGGAACTTAAATTCTATCTCATTCCATGCTCTGCCATGGGCAGGGACACCTTCCACTAGCCCAGCTTGCTCCAACCTGGCCTTGGACACTTCAGGGATGGAGCAGCCACAGCTTCCCTGGACAACCTGTGCCAGGACCTCCCCACCCTCACAGGGAAGGATTTTTTCTGTGTATGTAACCTAAACTTCCCTTTTTTCAGTTGGAACCCATTCCTCCTCGTCCACCAGAATTTTCCCAGCTCCTGGCTCCCAGCAGGAACCACTGTGGGGGAACTTTCTGTGAAACCTGAGAGCTGTGGTGGCTGCAGAGTTTTCCTTGATGAGGGACATGAGGATTTGGTTCCTGTCCAGGACTTCTCCTTCCTTCTCTTGAGCTTATTACACCAAACCAGACCCTCCTAAATGCTCTTCCTTCAAGTTCCCAACTGCTGTGGGATCAGGGAGTCTTGTGGATCCCTGCAGTTATTCCAGAACAGTCTTTTCCCAGTTCCCATTGTGCCTTGTGATTGTGTCATTGTTCGAGGTCGCTCCAATCAGGTTCCCTTCCTGATTGCCTTCCCACTGTGCTGGGCTCGGAAACTGCACAGAGCTGACTACAATTTGAATTTTTGGGGTTATTTATGGCACTGAGATTGCTGTGGGATCTGGGAGACTCTGCACCTCTTTGTGTCAGACTCTTGTTCCATGACATCCCTGACATCCCTGACATCCATGACATCTTGTTCCATTCAATGACAGAACCATGTGGCTTCCCCCAGATTTTTCATCTGCCGATAATTTTCAGGACACTTTTAATGTAAGAATCTTAAATCATTTGCAAATTCCCTGATTTAAAGCTTCAGGCTTGTACTCAGATCCAGGGAAAACACGTTTACAGTCTCCCTGTGAGTCGATCCTTGTAGCTCGCTAATTCTGTTTTCCCAGCGAGACCTGGTGAATTTACACTCCAAATAGAAGTGGTCAGCTCAGAAGATCAGATTTTTTATTTTTTTCCTTCCAGAGATATTTAAAACTACATTGGGAAGCCCAGGGAACAGAACAGGGGATATTTCTACCAGCAGAGACTCCTCACTTGTAAATGGGCTGAGCAGTGCTGAGGTTTCTCAAGCTCTTCCAAATCTTGGACTTCCCTTCCCACCTGTTGTGGGCAGGGAATTGTGTCATCCTCTGGTCTCTTCTTGTTCAAACAAAATGTTTCAATGATGCTGAGTTTATTTTACTAAGAAAACGTTTGTTTGAGGCTGTGCATCCAGAGAAAAAGAAGTGCCAGAGCCTCAGCAGCGCCGGTTGTGTTTCCACAGGCGTCGCTCAGAGGTGTTTATTGACTCAGCTGGGAAGAACCTGCCCGTTCTGAGGAGGGTTTTGCAGAAGTTCCCGTGCCTGCAGACTGTGCAGGGTCTGGGGAAATGTTTGCAGTCATTACTGCAGTGGGGTTCTGTGCAGAGCAGAGAAATCCTGCTGCTGGCACAGGGCCCCGCTTCCCTTGCAGCTCACGTCCCGCATCTCACAGCGTCTCCTCAAGTTGCTTCCAGATCCTCATCCTTCTTCCCTGACAAGTGGCTGAAGAGTGAGGAGAAGGATTGCCATCAATCTGCTGTGTGAGCAATTCAGAACCACGTTTTGGGCCATATTTAAATGACTGGAAGTTGAAGGATTTTGTGTGAACTCAGGAACGATGTGATCCTTGGGATAAGAGCGGAGTTATCTCTGGGCTGACCTAATTACAGCTGCACCAGGAATTACCTGCACCTTGCATGTTTCCCTGATAACCTTTTAATTACTCTTTGGAAAAGCTGCTTGGGTGACTTGTACTTAATTACCAGTCAAGAGCACAAAGCTTTTGATCTTAAAAGCAGCAAAAGGGAGGAGGAGAGGAAGGGACAAAGGGAACTGGGGAGGAGAGAGTTCCTCCAGTGTTGCTGTGGCTTGCAGAGATGCAAATTTGGGGTGAAACAACATCCTGGGGTTCATTCCTGGCAGAGAAATTCCTGGAAAAACAGCATTTGTCAGCTGGGAATGCACAGAGCTGGTGTTAGGAGTTTGTGTTGAGTCACCTCTGGTCCTTTGTCGCTGCCTCATGTCTCCAAGGTGACTACAGTTCTTTTTGCTAAGGAGAAGGATAAATAAAGCAGAGGGCCAGCTAAATCCTTTGTCACCTTTAGTAAACATCTGAGCCCTACCTCCCTCTCCCCCTCAGCAGAGTCTTTTGTCACTTCCCATTAACTCCATGGGAAAAGAAACACAACAAAACCCCACTTAAATTTATGTTCTCTGCTTTGTAGGATAAAATCCACTTTACTTGTTTTTTCTCTCTGGGAAGAGCCGTGTTTGAGCTGTTCCAGCAGCTTTAGGACCCTTCAGCAGCATCCCTGTTTTGTTCTGAGGAAGTGCTGAGTGTTTAAACTCTGTCTGCAGGATAATTGATGAAACTGGAGCTGAAAGTCTGGGAGAGGTAATGGAGTTAATGCAACTGCAGCACGGCTCTGCAATTTCGATTCAGTTTTTCCATATTTATTAGCAGAGGGTGCATCAGGAGGAGTGATAAAAGCAGCTGATTCAATCAGAGTGGGAGCTCTTTCCCTGGCACCGTGTGGAATGTTGTAGGCTTAGGAGGAGGCTTGGCATGGGTATTTTGGCAGCCTCTTCAGAGATGGGGAAGGAGCAGTTTTGTCCTGCT